GCCCAGTAAACAACTGGGGGGGACGCTGGGCAGAGGGCCGGCGCCCGGCTGCTGTCTTTGTTCAGTTGGGTTCGGTTTGTTTGTTGTTTGTTGGGGGTTTGTGGTTTGGTTTTTGGTTTTTGAACGCGGGACCCGCGTGAGAATGAGGTGCCCACGGGTTTTGTGACCTAGTTTTGGGGGACTCCTTAGGAGAAACCTATTTGCACGCGCGTCCCCGCCAAGAGCAGGCGTCGTTGGTGGTGAGGTCGCACGCGGGAGAAGGTGTGCAGGACTGGGTCCCGTCTGGGGCGCGGATTTGCACTTTGTTGTGAGCGAGTGTGCGGGGGGCTGCTGCTGGGAAGGGGTCCCCCCCTCCCGCAAAGCCCTCCTCGCTCCCGGTCCTGGGCTGTTTTTGTGGTCCGAGCCGGTTGGAGTCTGGGGCCGGCCGCCCCTCCCGGCCCCACCCCCACCGCGGCGCCCCGGGCTTTTCTTCCCTCGCGGGCCCCCTCCGCGGCGGTGCCAGGGGTTCTCTAGGTGTTTCTATGACTACATTGTGTGTGTGGGAGGGTCAGATGTGGGGGCTGCCCGCGAGAGGGCCGTTCCTGGGCGATCATTTATCAATGTCACCCACATAATGATTCTCTCTGCAGCCTCCTATTGATGAGGATAATTACATTAGCTCAGAGTGACTGATCAATGAAAAACCACCACACAAAAACTTCTTTACTCCTCTATAATACCAAAAACCGATACAGAAATAACATAGAAAGCCTGATTTTTCTCTCCCTTCCCTATCCACCAATGGATTCTACCCCCCAGCCCCAAAGGACGTGGGAGTAAAGTAAGAAAATAGACCCAGGTTTGTTTCCTTTCAAGGAGGACGCAGTTTTGCCCGTGAATGCATTTTCTTAAATGTGTTGGCTTCACTCCTCCTTTGGTAAAGAATATCAACGGATTGGCTACTGTGAGTTGCTTTTACATTGGTCTGTGGTTTTCCGTTCTTTCTATTTCTTTCTTCCCCTTTGGGCATTTTTCCCCTCTGAAAATAAAAAAGACAATTCTTTTATAAATAACTCGAAAGGGAAATTAATCTAGGTCCCCTCTCTCGTTTCTTTCCTTTCTTTTCCTTTCTTTTTATCTTTTCTTTCTTTCTTTCTTTCTTTTTTTTGGTAAAGTGTCTAAGTCGGGTTATCTTTTTGTTTTTATCACTTCATGAAGTAGCGCAATTAAAGATGTGATGTTGCATGGGTGTAAAGGGAGGATCCGTAATAGGGAGACATAATGTGCTATATTCTCGCCTGTAAGTTTGCACCTGAATTATGATTTTGCTTTTTCTAGACCTCAAAAATCAATATTTTCTCAATTAAAGAAAATTTTAATGCTTTACTTGCGAGTTGTTAAAGGCACTGTAAATTTTATTGTACTGCTCCTTGGTTTCGGAGGAGGTGCAGGAGACCGGTTGGTTCTCCTGGTCTTTCCCTCTCCCAGGAACATCAGTGTGTCAGATCAAATGCAAGCAACAAAGGTAAGGAGGGTTCCCAGAGGGATGGAGCCAAGGGTGGGGAGCCGGTCAGGCAGCCCTCCAGTGCCAGAAGCCATTGTCTTAAATATTTCACCTCTCTGTGTCCCACCTTCTCAGTGACAGAAGTGTTCATTTAACTTTAATATTTCTCCAAAAGGAGCAGTTCCACTCCCATGTACTTTGTGATAGAAAAGAAGCTGCACTTGGGGAGCCTTCTAAACTCTCCCGGTGCCCCCCCCCTTTTCTCTTTCCTTCTGTTATTTTGCCAAAATGTAATTCTTAACTGGTTCTTTCACAGATTCTGCCATATTTTATGTGTTCTGGCCTCTATGTCAGAACTCACTCCCCACCCTCCAGAGCACTCACTGTTTACAGATGTTTTCTCCTTCCACACATTCCACGTAGTAAAAGTTCCTGCAGAGAATTAGCTGTGGTGTGTTAATAGCCCAGGTCTGCTACTGCTCTCTCCTGCAAATCTGAAGTCTGGTAAGGTGGAGAATGGCACTGAACCAATATTGGACAGCATGCTCCAGGGTCCAGGAAACCCAAAGACTTGAGCATTCCAGGCCCAGGGACTGGATGGGAAGCAAGGTAGTGAAACTTTCAGAATGTAAGGCAGAGAAGAGAATGAAGAAAATGAGGGTAGAGTAGAACCTAATAAGAGAAGAATAGGACTAGAGAGGGGGGAGAGCTTTGGGGACCTCTTTGTAATTTAAAAAGAAATAATAATGAAGGGGAACTGAATATCTAAGACTTGCTGTTAATTTCTTCTTCTTTTTTTTTTTTTATACCCAATGTCTGTTTAAGAACAAATCCTCAGAGATGCCAGGAAGGGCCGGAGTTTCCAAGTGGAATTACACACTCGCAAAGTTCCTTTGCAGTTCCCTCTTCAGTTAATTTGCTGGGAATGAGAAGACCAGGGAAAGGGCTATGTGTGTGGTGTACCAAGGGCTTCTGTAAGAGTCTGATGGGAAGGGGCACCTGTGTATAATGAGGCCGCTGTAATAAGCTGAATAAGAGGAGGCACAGAGAAAAAGCCACACAACGCCACAATGCGTTCTAAAGTAATTCTCACCTATCTGCCTTTCTCTTTCACTTCAGCCACACACTCTATCAAACATTACACATAGGTGGGGGAAATTTCTAGTTCATCGTCTTTTGTCTGTAGACCCACCGGATTGATCTCCCTTCCCTTAGAGCTCTGACATGTAAGCCTAGACCATGGCCTTTTTATCAAGTGAGTGGGGCTTTGTTAATGTATTTGTACTTTTCTGCTTTCAGTCTAAGTTTCTTGCTTTGGAGGAAGGAGGGGTGCAAGAAAGGAGGGGGAGGGGAGCTTAACACAAAGACTTTAGTTCTCACCAAGCAGGTTTCAAAATAGGAACTTAATAGGAAGAAAAAGGAAAGAGTGCAGAAAATAAAGGGGGGTGGTGGTGAGAATTGTTTATCACAACAGGTTTTCTTGACTGAAAGAGAGGTAATTCTGTGAATATTTTTCCCTTTGGGGATTCTGTTTTCTTCATATTGAAACATTTTCAAATTTTAATCTTTCAGCAGACAAAAACTCAATATAAATATGACATGGGCCACTGGCAAAAAAAAAAAAAAAAAACCACCGCGAACTTAAACTCTGCTAAGAGAGGAGGGGGTGTGGGGAGGAGAGAGAGCCCTTTCTGATTAATAACTAGCAGGGTAATGTTGAGGCTTTTTCTGCCCGATTGCCTTTTTGAATTAGAGCCGATTTCTTCACACTTCAATAGTGCCTGTCTCCTTTAAAATGACTGGCAGATTTGTTTCTCTTTTTTCTCTCCCTGAGACTTAATGATGTAAATTTTCTAATTAGTTAAATCATATTGCTTAAAGGCCTAATATTCGTCGTGTAAGAAATGATCATCCTGATTTGGACCTCTTGAAATATTCTGAGAAATAACACTTGGCTTTCAGGTTGAGGGATGAGAGGGGATGCAGCTCTATTACGGGAAGCCCTTTGGAGGAGAGAAGGCGAGGACTCCGGCAACATGCTAAATTAATAGTTGAAGTTGAGCCGGGCTCACACCCCAAGTCCGCTTTTATTTTTCAATCAGCGAAGATTTAATTGGCAGCCCTCAGGCCTGGAGATCTGATATTTTCTCATTAGTTTCTCATCACTAATCTTGAGTGTTAGATTGGCTTAAAGGTTGTCAACATTTGACCAATTTTATTTAAGGAAAAAAAAAATCACTATATTATGGCTCCGGGATGTGAGATCTGCAAATAAATCCTGCTTGGATCAGCGGAACTAACAGGCGAAAAAAATGTTGACTATTCATCGTCGCGTTTAATAAGTTGCATTAATGTATATTTCAAGGCTAGGAAGAGAGATTATACATGCGCTGCCTACATGCAGATGAAATGAGGTTGATGGGAAGACGAAGGCGGGTGTGCTGTAAGCAGAGTGGTTAGGTAAAGTGAGATGTAGGTATATTTCGAACGGAGGGTAAATAACCCAAGAGGAATGGCTGTTGAGGATTTGGGTCTTTTAGGAGCTGCAATTCCCCCTCCTTTTGCAGCTGCGTGAAACTGCAAGCTTGTCTTGCAGCTCTGAGCGACTTGGCCGTCTTGTCCAGAGATAACGTCAGAGCGCCCCCTGCTGGCCAGCGGAGCAGAACGCTGTGGGTCAGGCCCCCCCACCGCCCCAACCCGAAGCAAATCGTGCTTTTCTGTGCTCCCCACCCCCCACCCACAGACTCCTTCCACAGCCCCCACCTCCGTTCTGCAGCAAAACCGCGCCGCGGGGAAATAGCACGTCAAAGCTGAACATTTAAATGAGTAAATGATAAAAATAATAATAAAATACGAAGGAACCCCCACGTTCGCTTGGCCTCCGGGGAATAAACTATCACATGATTACCAAAGGGACACATTTTCTTTTTTCTAAACCTCTTTATCCTTCTGAGTTTTTGCTGTGGGTTGTTTGTTTCTGCCGAACTGTAGATTCTGAGTCCAAAGAAATGTTTTAATTAGTAGATGTTGTAGAAGTTTTTTTTTTAAATGAGTATCTCATGGGGAAGGAGGCCAATATAAAACAATGTATTGCAGCCTCGCAAAATTCAGCTCCCAGGGAACTGGCACTATTTCGGTAAAGTCCCCAGGAATCACTTTAGGAATTCAGACAGTTAGTTCCTTGTCTTGAATGACCCTTTCGTGCAAGGCGAAGAAATACCGGCTCCTGTACGATCTTGTTTCTTTCAAAATAGAGAACGTGTTTAAAAGTTGTCACGGTCCTATCCATCCACCTACCTACACACAACATGCCTTTTCCCTGCGTGTCCTGTCCCCTGCCCAGGGCTGCTCAGTTTTGCCGGAAACGGAGAGGCCAGCTGGAGCGCTCCAAAGTCACCCTCCAGTGTCTTTGACGCCTGATCTTAGTTACACTGACGCTTCCCGTCCAATGTAAGGTGTGAGACCGGCCCTACTTTAGAGTGTACGGGTTGTTTCCCCACTGTCTGGGTGCCCAGACGCGTGTTCTCCGCTCTCCGGTGACTCTGCCCGGGACTTCTGACGCCCCGGACGCGGGGGCGCCCGGGGGGCGAGAGCCCGGGCCACCCCCGCCCGGGACCCGCCGGCCCCGCCGCCAGCCTCTCCTCCCGGGAAAGGCGCTGCCACGGCAGCCCCGACTCCGGAAAGTCTTCTGACCGCAGCCAGACCCCCCTGCAAAGCATGCACATCTGCGGTGCGGCACTTTAGTTTGCGGGGAGTTTGGGGGCTTTGCTTTTTAAGGTGCGGGATTGCGGGACTTGGTGAAAGCAGCTCTGAGAAATGAGGCTGGGGGCAGGAGCACCGGGCGGGGAGAAGGGCAGGGTCTCCTGACAGTCCCTTTCTGGCCAGAGTACCGGGACGCGCTCGTTTAAACCTTCCTTCTCCTGCCTCGCTTGTTCCCAGAACCCCCCACCCGCACCCGCACGCGCGTCACGCCTCCTCCGGCCCTCCGCCTCCGGGACTCCGGGGCCCGGCCGCGGCCCGGGACTTCGGGGAACAGCGCTGCGGGGGCGAGGCGGAGGGGCCAGGTCTCCACGCTAGAGGGGTGATGCCTCAGTCAGGATGTGCCTGAAGAATTGCTGGGGCGATTGTGTCAACTGAGGTAAAGTTAAATATTTATACTCCAAGTTGTTGTCATTCTTCTTTGGTCTGTTTTGGAGGAGTTCAGTGCATTCGAACTCAGTTTAAAAGTAAATCCTGGTCTGGGGTGAAGCAGGATCCGCCGCTGGCCACTGGAGTTGACTATTCGAAGGGTCTTCATTTAGCTCAGCAGTGGAGGGGAAGTTAGTTATCTGCAAACAGTGGAGGTGCATTTACATATATGGGTGTAATGTGTGTCTATCTAAAAACGCATTATACTTCCCTATCTATAATAAAGAGAAGGGAGCAAGTGGCCCGGTTACAACTGAATCCAAATAAAATTTTTAGTCAGAGGCTCTCACAGATGAAGAAAATACGAAAATCTCATTTCATTTGTCTCGGTTTGACTTAATGAAATTTGGAGACGCTGACAGTCTGGTCAATGTTCTAAGTAAATTAATGCGAAGGTCCTTAGGAAGACACTGGAACACCTCTTGCCATTAATCTTAAAGCACTTGAAGAGTATGATTAAAAGAATGGGATCACTAAGCATTATCATCTCAAATAGCTGTGAACTGTCTCCACCCCTTTATTGTGGCAACAAAATAAACTCTGCAGTAGGAATGATGTTTCTTCCTCTTTATCTTTGTTTTTGTTTTGCTTTAAGGGCAAAGGAGGGAAAACAGAAGCAAAGAAAACCACCTCGAAAGTCTCGTGTTTGCTGTTGTTAAAAGGCTGTTTCTTCATTTCTGATTTCCTTATCTTTCACTACAAAGAAAAAACTCAAAAGATGTGTCTGCATTGGACGAGAAGAAAACACTCACAATAACAGTGAAGGTGCATTTGTTTTATTCCCCTTTTCCCTGAAAAAATTTTTTTTTTAATATCCACCAATTTAGCAAAGTCGAAAGCTGTGAACAGGTAAAAGAGGCTCCCCTCGTCCGCGTCTATTTGCTGACTTTCATCACTTGCATTTGGTAGGCTTTTGTGTCAGATAGAAATTATGGGAAAAAGAATTAGGTATTTGCCAAGAAACGACATTCCACTTTCAAGCAGACTCCACCTGATTCTGCATTCGAGTGCTGGGAAGCGCGCGCGCGTGCTATTATCCCCTCATGAACCCCAAAGCCTTCATTAGATGTGGACAAAGAGGGGTGAGAACCCTATTACTGGGCGTTCTGGCAAAAACAGAAGCGGCGCCCCTCTGCTCCTGGACCCCCAGAAAGGACACCCCGAAAAAGGGCACAGGTCGGTGTATTTTCCTTAAGAGCCCTGAGCTGGGCAGACCTTACAGAGAAATACACAGTAATTAACATGTGAAAAAGCAAAATGCTGAAACGAAGGACGGTGGCTAACAAAAATAAATAAATAAACCATGCTAAAAATTATTCCTCAAACCCTGCAAATTTCCAGATGCCACAGAAAATCAATGCAAACGCGCCCCCTCCTCACTGAGCACCCAGCTCTCCAGCCGGGTGCTGTTTCCACGCGCAAGTGGAGTGGGGGCTGCCTCCTCCGCTGGAGCGGCAGGAGTTGTTACTCTGAGGCCGTCGGGAAGGGAGGTAAGGGGCGTCACCTTCCCCGCACCCCCGGCCCACGACTCCCACCTGTTCCCTGCTCCCCTAGCGGAGGCACCAGAGGAGCTGGGAGGATCAGCCCGGGGTCGGGGCACAGAGAGCTGAAGCTCCTACCAAACCAAGGAAGAAACCTAAACAGGCCCCCGGAGGCCGGAGATCCGGCCAAAGGAATGTAGAATCTGGGTCCCAGTTACACGCCACAGCCTGCCCAGTCCCGGGGCCAGGCTGCCTTGCCCTGGTGGACAAAAGGCTCTTAGACCAAGCGGGTCTGGCAGCCAGGGTGAAAGGCAATGGCGGGGGGGGGGAGTTCCGCCCCGCCCCCCGCGCCCGCTGTGTGTCTGAGTGTGAAACACGTGCACTTGGAGCAGGCCTCTGGCCGCACGCGTCAGCTGGGGGAAGTTCGCCCACGCGGCTTCCTGGGTCCTGAACCCACACTTCTCCCTGTCCCCCACCCTCCGCTCAAGACACCCAAACTCCTCCCCGAATCCCGGCCACGCCTGCACAGGTGTGGGGCCTTTGACTAGAAGGTGCCAGAGAAAAGCTACCCCGGAGGGAAGGCAGAGGGGGCAGGGGAGGAGGGCCAAGGGGCTGGGAAGAAAGATGGTCCTTCCAGAACTCAGACATTCCTATCTTCCTGTAATTGTCATCACACTCAATCTTTCCACCAAGACCCACGTTACCCAGAAAGCGGAGATTGATTCGCGGGAAAATCGTGCTTACGGAAACGTCTGGGTTTGACGCGGGAGGGCTCTTGAGACCCGCGCAGGCTTTGCTTAGATTCAAAAGTATGATTTTAATTTTCTTAATGAAGGCGCTCTCTAGAGCTCAGCTGGTAATGGCTGTGCTGAGTTTAATAGACTTCTGTCGAACAGAAAAAGACGGATAACTATCGGTTTTAAGTAATCTGCTCTAATGCAATTATTTTCCGAGGTTCGAATGTCATTGTGCAGAGAGGACAGCAGTGAATTAGGGCCCCGGGGACCGGGGCAAGGAGACGGTCTGAAACACCAGCCGAACTGGTTTTGTGAGATGGCCCTAACCTCACCAAAGGCGGTTTGGGGGTCGCGGTGGAAGGCTTCAGAGCCCTTTCTTGGTCTGGACCTGTGAAAACCTCCCCTCCCTCTCGCCCTGTCTTCCTGTCCTTCTCCTCTCTCCTCCTTTCCATTCTCCCTCCTTCTGTCTCCATTTCTTTTCTCTCCCTGCTCTTCCCCTTTTCTTCTCATCTCTCCCAGATTGCATGGGAATTTTCTTTCCCTTTCCTATATTTTGTTTGTCTTTGTGTATTGCAGGCAAATCCATTTAGTCCAAAGTATTTCTCCAAAACACTCAGAAGGAAGTGGGCTCTTGGGGTGTGTCAGCCCACTCACCTTTTGAAACCAATAAAATCAGGAGGTTTAGGATAACTGGTGACGTTGTGCGCACACACACACACAGTCGGTGCACCAGGATTCTCTCTAAGTACAGAACCAATCCAGGCCACTGTCCAAAACCACCCCAATCTTAGCTCTGACACCAGTTGTCATTACTGGCAGTTTTTATTTGAAATGATCGGGACTCTTCTTAGCTCTCCACTTCCCTTTGCCTGGTAAACACAATCTCAGGCAAACGTGATTTTGAAAAAATAAAAACACGATTGATAATGTCCCTTCTGTCAGCAAGGAAGCCAAATCCGTACAAGGAAAGGCTTGTATCTCACCTAGAAGGAGGATCTGAAAACAGTCAGGCAGGCAAGGCAGGGCCGCAGGCCACAGCTCTGAGCGCTGGGTGAGAGCCGGGCACCCTGGAGCCCAGCTCTCCGGTCTGAACCTCCGTCCACGCCCATTCCCAGCCTCACTTCTCCCGCTCTCCTCTCTCTTCGAGTTCTTGGGACTGACGCACAAACAGGGCTTCAGTGAGCCCTGAGTTACAGGTTTCTGTTCCAGACCCCGGAGGGGAGGAAAGGGTGGCTGGATCTGGTGTGTCTCTGACTTAAGTTCCACAGACCCACTCGGCCTCCAGCTCTCAGCCTTGTACACCCTCTCCCTCCCTCTCTCCTTTCTCACACACACCCACGTGCACAGAACGCATCCACAAAGCTCTGCACTATCTCCTCTTCTCTGACTCAGTCCTGCACCCCCTCCCGTCTCGCTCTGCTGCGTCTCAGGTCTTGAGAAAATAAAAAGAGGGAAGAACATTAAAAACAAAACAAAAAACCTTTGGCAAAAGTCCTCAGGTCCCCCTGGCTGGGGAAGAGCACAGCTTGGGGTGCAGCCGGGAGCGAGGCCCTTGCTTCTCTGGGCCCCGCGGACACCCCTTTGGAGGGTGAGGCTGGGTGAGGGCGGGGGGCGCTTTCCACCATCCTCTTCCCGGGCTGCCAGAAGGGAAGTCGGAACGAGGGCCAGTCCTCAGACCCCAAAGATTCCCAGGACTTGGGGAAGCCGCGCAGGGCGGGCCCCTCCTGGGCGCTGCGAACTAGGAAGTCTGCGCCCCGAAGAGCCGCGCTGGAACTTCTTTGAGCGCTCAGCCTCCAGCGCCCTGTGACGGTGGAGAAGGCCACCAAGGAGCGCTCAGGCCCAGCCTGCCCCAGCAGCCTGGGTGATTTCTGACTTCGGGTGCCACCAGGGAGGGGAGAACGGCCCCTGGCTCAAGGAGCAGATTTGGGGCAGGAGAAGGGGTGACTGTCAGAACCTCTCTCTTCATCCCCTCCCCCTCCTTCTCTCTCTTTCTCTCGGATGAAGTCCCCGTGTCATCCCTTCGGCGGTTCTCTGCAGGGAAGCTGCTGTGCTGCGTTGTTTTGGTGACTTAGGAGAGCAACAGCAAATTCTGCTTTTGAAGAGGTGGGAGAGGAGAGGAAAAAGATCTTATTAGCCAGCAGTGAGTTTTTCAAGCTTCTCCCTCAGCCAAGCAAAGTTAGAAAGGCTTGGTAAAAAGTGGAGGAAAAAAACAAAACAATTACCCACCATTATCCCCAGGAGGGAACCTAGACAGAATAAGAATCACAACTGCTAACCTAGCTGGGGGACTCTGCAAAGATGTCCAGAACTCCCAGCCTGTGTCACCATCCAGTGGGCCACTTGTGGGGGGTTGGGGTACTCTGCAGACTTCTGTCCCTGAAGCAACTGACCAGATTGGGTCTGAGGACACCCAGGGAAGTCCAACAGTTAGGTCTGTGTCTTTCTCACTTGCTCTCCTATTTTAAATGTCAACAGAGGAAACCATATTTTTTTTTCAGTAAATCAAATATGTAATTATGTTCACACAGAATTAAGGGCATAAAAATAATCTTTTCTTCAGTCGTACGTAGACATTGTTAAAGGGCTGCCCAGAGCATGGCATGCTGTTATAGAACAGGACCCTTAAGGGCAGGCTTTGAGGTTAACGGACACTAAGAATGCCTGATGCCCCCCCACCCACTGCCTTCACTGCACAAGGGGGTGGAGGAGGGAGTCCTAAGAATAGCTCAGGTGATAAGAGCTCCTAAAACACACTAAACAATGCACAAAACAACACAGTAAGGCACTTTTAAAGTAAGCCTCCCTAAAACAAGTTAGACTTAAATACCTGACTGCAAAGTTAAGATTTTTCTGCTTACGTATTTATCCCGGTCTGTTCATGTTAATACAGTTTAAATAATCTCCTCGGACGGGTTGATACTGCCCACCACAACAGAGCAGGGACAGTTGTTCATGCTTTGAAGCTTATCCACTGGCCTTAGGACTTTTGAATGTCCAAGTGAAGTGTAAATAGAAAAAGGTCACAGATGACTGACAAGTTCAAGCTACTTAGCTCAATTATCAAAATTTTATTTCTAAATTATGTTCAGTGTTATTTCCCTGCTTTGCTGTAAACAACCTTCAGAAATCCAGTGGGAGTGGAGAATTTCCCCCATGTCTTATGCACCGTGATTTATCCGTGCGGTTGGTTGGTGATATATTCTGTGGAGCCCAAGTCTCTACAGTTAGCCTCAGAAACATGGCTGTCATGCTAATTCGAAGGCAGTCACTTCAAAGACACAATGATCACTAAATTTGGACAACTTTCTAAAGTATCTCTAATTCTGAACTGCAGACAGAACCTGCAGGCAGTTTAGAATCTACTTCTCTGGGTATTGGCACGCTGTACTCAATGTCCACCTAACCAAACAGTGAATAGAATGCAATTTATAAATATATCCCTTAACCACCCACTTTCTCCACAATATCATGGAGGTTCCCCTCTGCATTATTTAATTCATATGACCAAGCTCTTCAGATTAAGGCTCGTACTGCCACATCTGGAAATGCTTCCTTTGCTCTTACCCCCTCCCTCTACCCAGTCAGCCACCAGTGAGGGAAATGGCTGAAGCCTGCCCTTCCACCACTGTATGATAGCATCAGCTTTTAATCAACCGGAGGCACTCTTATGTAAATTTGCAGGATAACTCTTTATTTCATTTATCTTTTCTTTTGGAGGAAAGTGAAACAAGAGCACCACCCTTATTAATTATAAGATTGATGGGGTGAAAAAAGCCAAATGAATTTGGCTTGCAAATTATTAGTAGGGGATATGAATATTTATGATGGTGCCAGGAACCACAGTCCTGAACCCTGAGTATCCAGCTCAGGAGACAGCCAGACCAGGGCAGTCAGTGAGGGTTCAGCAGTTTCCCCAAATCTGATATGACACCAATGGGAACTTCTAAGTTACACCCGGGGTGGGCCCCCAGCCAGTCAGTCCCCTCCTTTATTTATTTATTTTTTTGGCTAATCTTGCTGGACATGAATTTACTTTTAATGACCTCTATCATAAA